ATATATATATATATATATATATATACATATATATATATATATATATATATATATATATATATATATATATATATATATATACATATATATATATATATATACATATATATATATATATATACATATATATATATATATATACATATATATATATATATATATATATATATATATATATATATATATATATATATATATATATATATATATATATATATATATATATAGTGCCTCGTTTGCGAGGCACTACACATCAAGAAGTCAACACCAGCAATCAACAGCCAATTATTGCACAACTATATTCTACCCACTTCAAGACTCCGCTCCAATATAGAAGCATCAAGAAATATGGACCAATAGGCTTTCTACAAACACTTCTATTCAATATCCATTGTTTCGTGTTCTGTCTTGTGTTGATGAAATTAATACCCTATTAATATCACCTCTTGTTCTGTCTTGTGTTGATGAAATTAATACCCTATTAATGCCACATCTTGTTCTGTCTTGTGTTAATGCCACATCACCCCTTCCACCTCACTCAAATGTAGATATAAAATCGGAGATGCGTAAGTTCTATTCAGTTGTGTATTTGTGAACTAAAGTCTTTGAAAATGTAATAAGTTTTACGAAACGCGCTCGTGTCGCGTCAGACTAGAAATAAAAATGAATTTTGGAGAATTGATTTTTGATTTACCTCCAACAGTGAAAAGAAATGTACGAAAGATTGAGAAAATTCGTGTTAGAATTATTAATCTTACTTTTTCGGTCATATTTAATAATATATGTCTACAGGAAAGACTGCTACCAAAATATACCAATATATATATATATATATATATATATATATATATATATATATATATATATATATATATGCGAACAAGCCTGAATGGTCCCCAGGACAATATGCAACTGAAAACTCACACCCCAGAAGTGACTCGAACCCATACTCCCAGGAGCCACGCAACTGGTATGTACAAGACGCCTTAATACGCCTTGGTGTATTTAAATACTCCGAAATTACCATCTCTTTTAAGGGTCTGAGCAGGTGGTGGAGCGGGTTAAGGCGTACCTGTTATGCCAGTTGCTGGAAGGCTTCTGTGCTGGCTAGGGTTCGAGTCTCCTAGTGGGAAAGTGTTCTAAAGTTGTATATATATATATATATATATATATATATATATATATATATATATATATATATATATATATATATATATATATATATATATATATATATATATATATATATATATCGGTGCCTCGCGGCTGAGTAGACAGCATTCGGGGGGTCATAGTCTGAAGGATCCGGGATCGATTTACAACAAAACAAATGAGCAGAGTTTATTTCACCTAATGCCCCTGTTTACCTAGCAGTAAATAGACACTTGGGAGTTAGGCAGCTGTTAGAGGCTGCTTCGTAGGAATGTGTGCGCGCGCGTTAGAGAAATATATGTAGTAGACATAATTAAGGAAAAACAGATCAGTTAGAAAGGTGGGGTCCAAGAGCTAATAGCAAATAGCTCTTAGACCAAACCTGCTCACATTTTTGTAAATGGTACCCAGCTATTCAGACAAAGAACTTTCCATAGATGTAGATAATATACATGCACTTCGCTAAAGCTTTTGATAAGGTACCACACGAAAACAGGCAAGGAAATTACAAGTACATGGAATAAATGGTAGAAATACGAGAATGGATAAACAATAATTAACACGAAAACTAAAACAGAAAACAATGAAATATGCTAAACAGAAATGAGTCCATGTGGTACTGTAAGGGTTCATTTTGAGGCCAAATCTTTTCGTCAAATACAGTATGCTAAATGTTCAACAATGACACAGATGATAATATTACATCCCACACCATCGAATTTGTTGATGACATTATGATTTATGGTAAAGTTGGAAGTGAAAATTATATTAAGGCCTTACAAAGAGATCTATATAAACTCCACAGGTGGTCGCAAGACTGGCAAATGGTTTTTAATAAAAAAATGCCAGACCTTGTATGTGGGGCATAATAATGTGTGTCGTAACTACCAAACCAACATTACTGACTACCACCACACCCAGACTACCACCACCACACCCTGACTACCACCACCACACCCAGACTACCACCACCACACCCAGACTACCACCACCACTTACCCCTGCCCCTCACTACCACCACACCCAGACTACCACCATACCCAGACTACCACCACCACACCCAGACTACCACCACACCCAGACTACCACCACCACACCCAGACTACCACCACACCCTGACTACCACCACCACACCCAGACTACCACCATACCCAGACTACCACCACACCCTGACTACCACCACCACACCCAGACTACCACCACCACACCCAGACTACCACCACACCCAGACTACCACCACACCCTGACTACCACCACCACACCCAGACTACCACCACCACACCCAGACTACCACCACACCCAGACTACCACCACACCCTGACTACCACCACACCCTGACTACCACCACCACACCCAGACTACCACCACCACACCCAGACTACCACCACACCCTGACTACCACCACACCCAGACTACCACCACACCCAGACTACCACCACCACACCCAGACTACCACCACACCCGGACTACCACCACACCCGGACTACCACCACACCCAGACTACCACCACACCCAGACTACCACCACCACACCCAGACTACCACCACCACACCCGGACTACCACCACACCCGGACTACCACCACCACACCCAGACTACCACCACACCCAGACTACCACCACACCCGGACTACCACCACCACACCCAGACTACCACCACACCCAGACTACCACCACCACACCCAGACTACCACCACCACACCCAGACTACCACCACACCCGGACTACCACCACACCCAGACTACCACCACACCCGGACTACCACCACACCCAGACTACCACCACACCCGGACTACCACCACACCCAGACTACCACCACACCCAGACTATCACCACCACATCCAGACTACCACCACACCCGGACTACCACCACACCCAGACTACCACCACACCCAGACTACCACCACACCCAGACTACTACCACACCCGGACTACCACCACACCCAGACTACCACCACACCCAGACTACCACCACACCCAGACTACCACCACCACACCCAGACTACCACCACCCCCAGACTACCACCACCACACCCTGACTACCACCACACCCGGACTACCACCACACCCGGACTACCACCACACCCAGACTACCACCACCACACCCAGACTACTACCACACCCAGACTACCACCACACCCAGACTACCACCACCACACCCAGACTACTACCACACCCAGGCTACCACCACACCCAGACTACCACCACCACACCCAGACTACCACCACCACACCCAGACTACTACCACACCCAGACTACCACCACACCCAGACTACCACCACACCCAGACTACCACCACCACCCCCAGACTACTACCACACCCAGACTACCACCACACCCAGACTACCACCACACCCAGACTACCACCACCACACCCTGACTACCACCACCCCCAGACTACCACCACCACACCCTGACTACCACCACACCCGGACTACCACCACACCTAGACTACCACCACACCCAGACTACCACCACCACACCCAGACTACTACCACACCCAGACTACCACCACACCCAGACTACCACCACACCCAGACTACCACCACCACACCCAGACTACTACCACACCCAGGCTACCACCACACCCTGACTACCACCACACCCGGACTACCACCACACCTAGACTACCACCACACCCAGACTACCACCACCACACCCAGACTACTACCACACCCAGACTACCACCACACCCAGACTACCACCACCACACCCTGACTACCACCACACCCGGACTACCACCACACCCGGACTACCACCACACCCAGACTACCACCACCACACCCAGACTACTACCACACCCAGACTACCACCACACCCAGACTACCACCACCACACCCAGACTACTACCACACCCAGGCTACCACCACACCCAGACTACCACCACCACACCCAGACTACCACCACCACACCCAGACTACTACCACACCCAGACTACCACCACACCCAGACTACCACCACACCCAGACTACCACCACCACCCCCAGACTACTACCACACCCAGACTACCACCACACCCAGACTACCACCACACCCAGACTACCACCACCACACCCTGACTACCACCACCCCCAGACTACCACCACCCACACCCTGACTACCACCACACCCGGACTACCACCACACCTAGACTACCACCACACCCAGACTACCACCACCACACCCAGACTACTACCACACCCAGACTACCACCACACCCAGACTACCACCACCACACCCAGACTACTACCACACCCAGGCTACCACCACACCCTGACTACCACCACACCCGGACTACCACCACACCTAGACTACCACCACACCCAGACTACCACCACCACACCCAGACTACTACCACACCCAGACTACCACCACACCCAGACTACCACCACACCCAGACTACCACCACACCCGGACTACCACCACACCCAGACTACTACCACACCCAGACTACTACCACACCCAGACTACCACCACACCCAGACTACCACCACACCCAGACTACCACCACCACACCCAGACTACCACCACACCCAGACTACCACCACACCCGGACTACCACCACACCCAGACTACTACCACACCCAGACTACCACCACACCCAGACTACCACCACACCCAGACTACCACCACACCCAGACTACCACCACCACACCCAGACTACCACCACACCCAGACTACCACCACACCCGGACTACCACCACACCCAGACTACCACCACACCCAGACTACTACCACACCCAGGCTACCACCACATAACTAAGGAAAGTGTTCAAGAGAGAACAGTGGAAGGTTTGTCCACATTCCAGCCATGTAAAACTTTGTCGCAACTGTATCCTTGACTTTCTTGTCTCCGCCATTTGCTACTTACCATTTTTGACAAGGAATAATAAACTCAGGGCCACATACGTGACCTGAACGCTCTTCAGCTTCTGTAAATCCATTTTCCGTCGAAATAATAGATTATAAGTGACTAATTTCAGAGAGCACGCAACAGACCTCCTTAACGTCTGAGCCAACACTGGCAGGGAGAAGGCGGAGGTACGGGAGGCGTCGCTCTCAACCAATCACAAGCCCTCGTCTCCTTCAGGTACAGCGGCTCTCAGCCAATCAAGACACTCCTCCTCACAGGTGTAACATGGCGCTAACTTTCAAGAATGAGTACAAAGACAAATGGCTTAGACATTAATGGCTTTGTATACGAGTATTGTTTTTCTTATATAACCCAAATTCCTGGCCCTATATAGCCACACCTAATTAATCATCGTTGGTGGCATCACAGTGCGTTGGTGCGGGACCAGACAAAATATATACTGTATAATTCATATTATACATAATAATTATATAGTATATAATAATAATAACAATCAATAATTGTTATTGATTACATTACAGAAGATACAATAAGAATAGACATATTGTGATCCCGTTAAGAGCGTAGTAAACAATATGGGGGAAGATCTGCGGTGCCAGAGGTGTTGTTGTTGTCACCTGCACCGTCTTGGAGCAAGTATGACGTCACAAACAAGACGACTAATGTTTTGCATAACTGAAGGAGGGAACAATGACGGGCTGCATGTTTACACGTTCTCTCACTGTTCACATGTAATAAGGAATATATTTATAGGTTGCATATTGTACACAAAAACATCATAAACAGTTGCCAGTAGGACCTGGCATGTTAACACACACCGTACGATATGTTGGGCTGAGATGTGGTCGCTGGCTAGGGAAGGACCAGACACGATCTTCTTAAGGTTATCTTGAGATGATTTCGGGGCTTTATAGTGTCCCCGCGGCCCGGTCCTCGACCAGGTCTCCCTCCACCCCCAGGAAGCAGCCCGTGACAGCTGACTAGCACCCAGGTACTTATTTTACTTCTAGGTAATAGGGGCATAGGGTGAAAGAAACTCTGCCCATTGTTTCTCGCCCGGGATCGAACCCGGGACCACAGGATCACAAGTCCAGCGTGCTGTCCGCTCTGCCGACGATGGCTTCAATGTCTCCACCTCTTTGGTATTGAGATGCTTCCTCTAGGCTCTAGGTGTTGGAAGAGGTGTTGTGGTGGCGACAGGTGTTGACACGTCAGCGTTGTGGCAGGTATTGATGCAGCAGTATTGTGGCGGCGGCAGTTGTTGACACCGGTGTTGTGGAGGTTGCAGGTGTTGACACCGGTGTTGTGGAGGTTGCAGGTGTTGACACCGGTGTTGTGGAGGTTGCAGGTGTTGACACCGGTGTTGTGGAGGTTGCAGGTGTTAATGAACTGGTAAATGTTCAACCTGTGTGTTGTGGTGTCATTGTGGAGGTGGCTCTGCACTTGTTCACATATCATTTGTTCTGTGGAGGTGGTAGATATTAATGTATAAGTATCCTGAGGTGGCTGCAGGTGTTGACTTGTCATTATTGTGGGGATGGTAGATGTTGAAATATAAGAAGAGAGATGTATTGGTAATGACCCAACAGCACCAAGTAGTCACAGACCAGAAGTTCTAGGGACACATTCTAAACATATCAAAAAAAGTTTCAAAAACTGTGGGCATTCTTTCTAAGATCAGATATTATGTACCACGCCCTGCCCTGGTGACTCTCTATTACTCCCTTATCTATCCATATCTCAACTATGGTATTTGTGCTTGGGGCTCTACTACCCAAAATCACTTACGTCCTCTAATTACTCAACACAAAGCTGCTATTAGGACAATATCCAATTCTGGCCCCAGACATCACTCGGTACCCCTACTCAAATCTCTGAATATGTTAGACATTAAGTCACTGCACATTCTCTCATGTGTATTATACATATATAAAACGCTAAACTATAATGCCAATCCTGATCTCAAAAGCTTCATAGAAGGTTGTAACAGAACCCATGAGCACCACACCAGAAATAAATACAGTTTTGATATTCCTAGAGTACGACTAAATCAAACCAGAAATGCTCTACAAATCAAGGGGCCCAGAATGTGGAATGACCTTCCCAACCATGTTAAAGACTGTACCTCTCTTAACCAGTTTAAGTTAAAAACGAAGCTATACCTAATAAATTCCATGTAACCCACCTTACCCCTCTGTTGTCAACCCATGTATGTTTTTTGTTTTTTTTGTTTTTCAAATCAACGCTGTTTGAATGTAATTTTCTGTAATAATTTGTAATTGTATTTGTGCTGCTTTTTCAACAATGTTCCCCCCTCTTTTACCTCTATTTTTTATATGTACTCATCACATCTTTTCTTTTTACCCATTAGTTTTAAGCTTTAGTCATTAATGTTTTTCCTGCCCGAAACGCTTTGCGTAATAGTGGCTTTAGGCATTGTATGTACTAGCTCTATCTATAAAGCCAACAAACTTTGTAAAATCTCTTATGTATGTACCTTACCTAAATAAAAATTATTATTATTATTATTATTATTATTATTAAAGTTCGTTTTCATTGACACTATTCACTCGTATGAGAGAACACATTAATGTGTTACAATTGTGGCTCGTGTTCTGTCATATAAGTGAATTGTGTCGGTGAAAACGAACTTCTGGTCTGTGACTACTTGGTGCTGTTGGGTCATTGAATAAATAGCTTTGGCTTGCAATGACTTTTAACAGTAGTAGCCATTTGGTCAGAGTATTAGACTTGTCAAGACGTTTCATTGCTCCTGTCAGTCTAGGTTTGAACCTTTCTGATATAATCTTTTGAGATTATATCAGAAATTATATATATTTACCTTTTGAGTCTTTTCTGATATAATCAACTTGCATGTTTGTGCAAGTTAATGTGTTTATATATACTGTATATATATATATATATATATATATATATATATATATATATATATATATATATATATATATATATATATATATACACAGTATATATAATATACACATTCATACAATATATAGTGGTATTTGGCACAAGTATTCATAGTCATTTTAAATTGGGTTTTATATAAAGTATTCTACATTTCTAAACTTGTATTCCACAGACTGATGACAGCACTCGGCAACGTCTCGGCTTTGTCAGCTGCTGTTCTCTATGGAGTCCTCTCATTGTCCATGGCATTCCTCAACAAGGCTGTTATTAGTCAATACAAATTCAATTTCCCATTTTTTATATTATCATGCCAGGTGAGCAGAATTATATTAAGAAAACTGTAGCTTTATTAATTTTATTATTAGAATGTATAGTAGTGCAGATATATTCTTATATTTGAGCATTTAGAACAAATTCTCGTAGTCATTGATCTGTTATCTAGGATAATGGCATTGAAGGGGCTCAAGAAATTGTCTAGGCATGGTAAATATTTGAGACCCAGCTGTATAAATGATTAAGTTAAGTAATATATATATATATATATATATATATATATATATATATATATATATATATATATATATATATATATATATATATATATATATATATATATATATATATGTTAGTATATTTTGGTAGCAGTCTTTCCTGTAGACATATATTATTAAATATGACCGAAAAAGTAAGATTAATAATTCTAACACGAATTTTCTCAATCTTTCGTACATTTCTTTTCACTGTTGGAGGTAAATCAAAAATCAATTCTCCAAAATTCATTTTTATTTCTAGTCTGACGCGACACGAGCGCGTTTCGTAAAACTTATTACATTTTCAAAGACTTTAGTTTACAAATACACAACTGAATAGAACTTACGCATCTCCGATTTTATATCTACATTTGAGAGAGGTGGATGGGGTGAGGTGGCATTAATAGGGTATTAATTTCATCAACACAAGACAGAACAAGAGGTGGCATTAATAGGGTATTAATTTCATCAACACAAGACAGAACACGAAACAATGGGTATTGAATAGAAGTGATTGTAGAAAGCCTATTGGTCCATATTTCTTGATGCTTCTATATTGGAGCGGAGTCTTGAGGTGGGTAGAATATAGCTGTGCATTAATTGGCTGTTGATTGCTGGTGTTGACTTCTTGATGTGTAGTGCCTCGCAAACGTCAAGCCGCCTGCTATCGCTGTATCTATCGATGATTTCTGTGTTGTTTACTAGGATTTCTCTGGCGATGGTTTGGTTGTGGGAAGAGATTATATGTTCCTTAATGGAGCCCTGTTGCTTATGCATCGTTAAACGCCTAGAAAGAGATGTTGTTGTCTTGCCTATATACTGGGTTTTTTGGAGCTTACAGTCCTCAAGAGCTTACAGTCTCTTGGGGACTGTAAGCTCCAAAAAACCCAGTATATAGGCAAGACAACAACATCTCTTTTTAGGCGTTTAACGATGCATAAGCAACAGGGCTCCATTAAGGAACATATAATCTCTTCCCACAACCAAACCATCGCCAGAGAAATCCTAGTAAACAACACAGAAATCATCGATAGATACAGCGATAGCAGGCGGCTTGACGTTTGCGAGGCACTACACATCAAGAAGTCAACACCAGCAATCAACAGCCAATTAATGCACAGCTATATTCTACCCACCTCAAGACTCCGCTCCAATATAGAAGCATCAAGAAATATGGACCAATAGGCTTTCTACAATCACTTCTATTCAATACCCATTGTTTCGTGTTCTGTCTTGTGTTGATGAAATTAATACCCTATTAATGCCACCTCTTGTTCTGTCTTGTGTTGATGAAATTAATACCCTATTAATGCCACCTCACCCCATCCACCTCTCTCAAATGTAGATATAAAATCGGAGATGCGTAAGTTCTATTCAGTTGTGTATTTGTAAACTAAAGTCTTTGAAAATGTAATAAGTTTTACGAAACGCGCTCGTGTCGCGTCAGACTAGAAATAAAAATGAATTTTGGAGAATTGATTTTTGATTTACCTCCAACAGTGAAAAGAAATGTACGAAAGATTGAGAAAATTCGTGTTAGAATTATTAATCTTACATTTTCGGTCATATTTAATAATATATATATATATATATATATATATATATATATATATATATATATATATATATATATATATATATATGTGTGTGTGTGTATATCACGAAAATAAACACGTGATTAAGAATGTGACAATGTCACATTCGTAATGTCAAAACACATAATATATATATATATATATATATATATATATATATATATATATATATATATATATATATATATATATATGTCGTACCTAGTAGCCAGAACACACTTCTCAGCCTACTATGCAAGGCCTGATTTGCCTAATAAGCCAAGTTTTCCTGAATTAATATATTTTCTCTATTTTTTTCTTATGAAATGATAAAGCTACCCATTTCATTATGTATGAGGTCAATTTTTTTTATTGGAGTTAAAATTAACGTAGATATATGACCAAACCTAACCAACCCTACCTAACCTAACCTAACCTATCTCTATAGGTTAGGTTCGGTTAGGTAGCCGAAAAAGTTAGGTTAGGTTAGGTTAGGTAGGTTAGGTAGTCGAAAAAACATTAATTCATGAAAACTTGGCTTATTAGGCAAATCGGGCCATGTATAGTAGGCTGAGAAGTGCGTTCTGGCTACTAGGTACGACATATATATATATAATATATATATAATATATATATAGTTCAGCTGATAGTACAGTACAGTTAGCTGACCCTTGTTAGTCATTTAACTGGCATATTGTCTCTGTTTCTGCCAAAACATTTATGTGACATGGTAAGGCTCATCTGGTTATTTGTAAGAATTTCTACACAAATGTATTCACTTAGTTGTGCTTGCGGGGGTTGAACTCTGGCTCTTTTGGCCTGCCTCTCAGACTGTCAATCAATTTACTTTTTTTTCACCCCCCCCCCCCAGGAACAGCCCATAACAGCTGTCTAGCTCCCAGGTACCTATTTACTGCTAGGTAACAGGAGCATTAGGGTGAAAGAAACTCTGCCCATTTATTTCCGCCATCGCTGGGGATTGATCCCTGGGCCATGGGACTACGAATCCAGAGCACTGACCATTCAGCCACAGGCCCCTGTGAGCCTGTGGCTGTTCAAATGTTGTGTGTTTGTTGGTTTTTAATAATAAATCCATGTCCCAGTGATATAAATTTATGACTGGGATGTGGGCTACTTAATACCACATCCACAATATGGTGGGTCCACACTATGGTGGCTAGTGAGCATATATATATATATATATATATATATATATATATATATATATATATATATATATATATATATATATATATATATATATATATATATATATATATATATACAGTATATATACAGTATATATATATATATATATATATATATATGTCGTACCTAGTAGCCAGAACGCACTTCTCAGCCTACTATTCAAGGCCCGATTTGCCTAATAAGCCAAGTTTTCATGAATTAATTGTTTTTCGACTACCTAACCTACCTAACCTAACCTAACCTAACTTTTTCGGCTACCTAACCTAACCTAACCTATAAAGATAGGTTAGGTTAGGTTAGGTTGGGTTGGTTAGGTTCTGTCATATATCTACGTAAATTTTAACTCCAATAAAAAAAAATTGACCTCATACATAATGAAATGGGTAGCTTTATCATTTCATAAGAAAAAAATTAGAGAAAATATAATAATTCAGGAAAACTTGGCTTATTAGGCAAATCGGGCCTTGCATAGTAGGCTGAGAAGTGCGTTCTGGCTACTAGGTACGACATATATATATATATATATATATACAGTATATATATAATATTTGTCACGGTAATCTCTCTAGAAAGAGATTTGGCCTGCTCCATCATCACCTATACCACTACTATATATTCAAGAATTGCCGCCAAGAGCAACAACTACTACTCACAAACGTCTAGACAGTGGACTACCTCCCCCTATACCACGGCCCTTCACCCCACCTCACCTGGTCGCTGAGAGCTCACGCCACCGGCCGAAACAAACAGTTAACGAGCCGGTTCCTAGTTATCCACGACTACCAGCGCCACCTGAACGGCCGTCGTTCCATATATATAGGGCTACCTAGCCCACCATGATTCAGATTACTCCTGAGTGCTCTACTGAATAGACCTGTTGACATATCTCGGTGTGGTAACACGTTTATGCAGTCTAACTCATAGTATTCTAGCACCATATTTTTTAATTGCACATTAACGTAACGTAAATTTAATTGTTTGTCTTGTTTGTTTTGCACACGTTGTATTAGAGCCAAGTTTGGATAATATTTTTTGTTTTGTAATTTGTTTAACATTAGTTTTCTATTAAATTAAAGTATTTTTAAATTTTTGTTCTCTATGTCTTATCCCACAGTTGCCTCAACATGAAGATTCAACTTGCAGTCTAACTTTTTTTCGTTTTTTTTGCGTTTGTTTTTTATTTATATGACTGGCATTCCATCTGCCCTGGAGAGACTCCGATACCATCCCTTTTTACCGTCATATAAATTGGGGGCCTGTCCGGGAGGTGAATCCGGGACCTCTCGTAGGTCCCGTATATATATATATATATATATATATATATATATATATATATATATATATATATATATATATATATATATGAATGAAAACTCACACCCCAGAAGTGACTCGAACCCATACTCCCAGGAGCAACGCAACTGGTAACTACAGGGCACCTTAATCCACTTGACCATCACGGCCGTCAAAAGGAAGTGATAGCCGAGGCTATTTGAGCCACTTCCCCGACGGCAACTCGGATGGTAATCTTGGGCATAGCATTTCACCAAATCACCTCATTCTTTGGGGCACACGTGAGGAACACAAATGCGAACAAGCCTGAATGGTCCCCAGGACTATATGCGAATGAAAACTCACACCCCAGAAGTGACTCGAACCCATACACCCAGGAGCAACGCAACTGGTAACTACAGGGCGCCTTAATCCACTTGACCATCACGGCCGTCAAAAGGAAGTGATAGCCGAGGCTATTTGAGCCACTTCCCCTACGGCAACTCGGATGGTAATCTTGGGCATAGCATTTCACCAAATCACCTCATTCTTTGGGGCACACGTGAGGAACACAAATGCGAACAAGCCTGAATGGTCCCCAGGACTATATGTGAATGAAAACTCACACCCCAGAAGTGACTCGAACCCATACTCCCAGGAGCAACGCAACTGGTAACTACAGGGCGCCTTAATCCACTTGACCATCACGGCCGTCAAAAGGAAGTGATAGCCGAGGCTATTTGAGCCACTTCCCCGACGGCAACTCAGATGGTAACCAAAGAATGAGGTGATTTGGTGAAATGCTATGCCCAAGATTACCATCCGAGTTGCCGTCGGGGAAGTGGCTCAAATAGCCTCGGCTATCACTTCCTTTTGACGGCCGTGATGGTCAAGTGGATTAAGGCGCCCTGTAGTTACCAGTTGCGTTGCTCCTGGGAGTATGGGTTCGAGTCACTTCTGGGGTGTGAGTTTTCATTCGCATATAGTCCTGGGGACCATTCAGGCTTGTTCGCATATATATATATATATATATATATATATATATATATATATATATATATATATATATATATACTGTATATATACTGTATATATATATATATATATATATATATATATATATATATATATATATATATATATATACTGTATATATATATATATATATATATATATATATATATATATATATATATATATATATATATATATATATATATATATATATATACTGTATATATACTGTATATATACTGTATATATATATATATATATATATATATATATATATATATATACTGTATATATATATATATATATATATATATATATATATATATATATATATATATATATATATATATATATGTCGTACCTAGTAGCCAGAACTCACTTCTCAGCCTACTATGCAAGGCCCGATTTGCCTAATAAGCCAAGTTTTCATGAATTAATGTTTTTTCGTCTACCTAACCTACCTAACCTAACCTAGCTTTTTTTGGCTACCTAACCTAACCTTACCTATATATATAGGTTAGGTTAGGTAGGGTTGGTTAGGTTCGGTCATATATCTACGTTAATTTTAACTCCAATAAAAAAAAATTGACCTCATACATAGTGAAAAGGGTAGCTTTATCATTTCATAAGAAAAAAATTATAGTAAATATATTAATTCAGGAAAACTTGGCTTATTAGGCAAATCGGGCCTTGAATAGTAGGCTGAGAAGTGAGTTCTGGCTACTAGGTACGACATATATATATATATATATATATATATATATATATATATATATATATATATATATATATATATATATATATATATATATATATAACAAGTTACCCCCTTTTGGTTGCATTTGTAGGGACCCTTGACCTCGAAGAAGACGATATGTAGCATCTGGGGGAGTCTTGTGGGGCACCCACATACTCACATATTGTCTTCGTCTACCACCCCCTATATTTTTGTATTTTGTCATTTTATTAAGCGGAGCCTTGCCTCTGCCCAGTGTCCAGCAGAGAGAGAGCCTTGCAATCTATTAAACCATAACTCTGTTAGCTTTGCTGGCCGTCCATATGGAATCACACTGCACACTTGGAAAAATGGCAGACAATTGGCGTGGGACTATACTTGTGTATCCAACCTGGCAGCCACAGACATCAACCTCTCTGTCGACCAAGCAGGAGCCGTGGCGACACACAGAGAAAGAGACAAGTCAAACAAGTACAGTACATGAAAGTAGATCACCTATACAACTTCATTCCAATAGCATCTGAGACCCTTGGTCCATAAGGAGAAAGTGCAAGGAGATTTCTTAAAGATCTTGGTTCCAGGCTCATTGAAACTACAAGAGACCCTAGAGCAGCAAATGTTCTCTTCCAGTGCCTCAGTGTAGCAATCGAGGAGGGTGCCCGTTACATCCTCCTTCCTGCCCGGCGTCGGAGGAGTTTGAAGATAACTACAGCCTCTGGGAAACAAACTTTCCCTGTATTTCCTCTTAATGTCCACCTTTTGTAACCAGTCAGATATACAACTGTGTAACCTTGTATAATAAAGTGCACTTCATAAATAATAAAAAAGGGGGTAGAGGAAGTAAATACTCATATGTATTTAGAATTAAATGGCAAGTTTTTATCTGAATGCTCTTTAATCCCTTCTCTGAGGCAATGGGTCCATTTATATGAAAATATATGCATTTATATATAATGAACATAATATTTATATACAGTATATGAATATAAGAACAAGAGGAAACTGCAGGAGGTCCATTTTGTCATTTGCAAAATACCTTGTAAAGATTTTAGTACATTCTATATACAGTATGTCAAACATCCAAAGATTTGAAATTCCGAATTTTGCAGCATTACTATTCTGTAAAAAGTGGCCAATTATATAATGCTCTATTTATTTGTCATAAAATTCTCATCAAATTATTTGGGTAAGGTTTTCTTCAATATCAAATTGTAAAAACATTTTCAACAGAAACATTGAATCTACTTTAATACATAAGAACATAAGAACAAAGGCAACTTCAGAAGGCCTATTGGCCCATACGAGGCAGCTCCTATTTATAACCACCCAATCCCACTCATATACTTGTCCAACCCTATACAAATTATAAAGCCATATAATATGAACAATAGTGATGGTTTGTATAGATTAGATCTATATTTAATTGATCAATTACAAACTTATTTGAGCAAGATGATTAATAAAGAGTTATCTCATGAGTATTGTCACTTGCCAGAACTCTCATGTATTGGTGAATGGGCCTCCTGCAGTTTCTTCATGTTCATACACCCATATGTATTTCAAAGACATTGTTTTTCATCTCACATGTATCCTTCCTGTCTGTACATCTCCCTCCACTGAATATGTATATATATATTTTTTAATATCGCCATTCTCTAATGCAATCTTGTTGTACTTTACAGATGATGTTAACGTTAATCATTTTGGAAGTAATGCGGGCATTGGGGAAATTTGGGTTGCCAAGTATTACAATGGCAGCGGTTAAAATGTTTGCCTTTCCTGCATTTTGCTACTCCTTGCATGCCATATTGTCCTTGGTGGCCTTGGCAGGTAAGTTGTTCTTAACATCTAAAAAGTACTGCAAACTGTTTGATGGATTAACACAGTAGAGTACTGAATATTACAGTATATATGCCAGAATTGTGTCTTGAGGTACTGGATATGCTCAGCAGGGTTTCTTCCTTAATCATAACAATACACTATTTGTAGTCCAGACATATGGCAAATCAAAAGTGATAAAATCGGTTCTCGTATTAAATTTCCCCCACAGAAAATGTATCATAGTCATTTGAGAGTGGTAGACATTAGTCTACCTTTTGTTAATTGTATTGTAATATACAGTATTTACTATTTTTTGTAGGTATGAATATTCCAATGTATGGTGCTGTTAAACGTTGCACACCCTTAGTTAACTTGGTTCTGGCTGTAACATACCTGAGAAAACCGATGCCATCTTCGCTTGTGATAACTTCAATTGTCACTATTACAATCGGATGCTTAATAGCTGGTAAGTCATTTCTGTATAGGTCTGAGTGCAGTACTCGGCTGCACAGCTTTATGACTCTGTTACTGTAATAATAAGAAATATTTAGATATATTGTACAGTGTGCATAAAACTGTATAAATTTAAAGAGCTGACTGAAGAATTTTAAAATTAAACTGAATAAGAACACTAAGATAGTTATCTCTAGTGTTCTCTTGCAAGTTATGTACTTGCAACTTGCAACAGTCAAATGCAACTTGATTTGCAAGAAAGAATTTGCTACCAGAACTTACATTGATCTTTAAATGGAGTGGCCTTATAATCAAGGCTGTCTCGGTTGGTAGGACTGACTGTGTACAGGTATATGCGCATTTCATTTATTTCTCAACTTTTTCCTATTCTTATTTCTTTAGCAGTAAATGTTACTACAAAAATAGTGTTCATAGTGTGTGTTTCCACAGTAACTCCCTCTGCTTATGTTTCTTGACACACACACAGGGCATAGTACATTCAGGTTCATTCTCGATTCACAATCGGGAATTCCCGGTTCAAATTCCGGATGTGACAAATGGTTTCTCAGATTTCCTATCACCTAATGCATCTGTTCACCTAACAATATACAGTATAGGTACCTAGTAGTTAGTCAGGTTGTTATAGGGTTGCATCCTGGAGAGGGTCAGTAGTTTGTCCTTGGAGGGGACCGTGATACTGTACTGTATATATGTTATGTATATGTATGTATGTATGTATACATACATATGACAGTGTCTGACCACAAAAGAAGGAATGAAACAGTAAATTCTGTAAGTACTTTTGTATTTATCAACACATCTTCAAAAGGATGAAGATATGTTGTATACTTAAGGAATTTCCTGTTTCCTTCCTTCCTTCCTTCCTTTGTGGTCACACATTGTCACTTTCTTCATCATGTCTTAATTTCTTGCAATAACTGTAGAGTACTATTAATAATTAAGAATGAGTACTGACTGTAAAACAAGTTGTATGGTTACATGGTAAATTTTGTCATACACAGTCCCTTTTTGACCTTGAAATAGTTACAACTAATCAAAGGTTTGTGGTAATACCTACTTACAGGAATGGGTGACCCAAGCTTTAATGGGTTTGCATACATGTTTGGAGGCGTGAGTGTGGTGCTGCAGGCAGTGTACCAGACCCTAGTGCAACAGTGTGGTGAGAACAAGCTCTCTCCACTACATGTTCTTCACCTCAATAGCTGTATCTCTCTTGTTCCATTTGTTATTCTTACTTTTGGTAAAGGGGAACTAAAGGCTGTCCTTACTTACCAGTATATTGGAGGTAAGTTATTTTATATTAAGTGTGATTATTTTGCTGCTAGTAAGTATACTGCATTTATGATTGTTCAAGGTTTAGTTATATATTTGTTTTAATGACAGAATAGTTGCAAATAATATTAACAAAATATTAACATTATTTAAATATTTTACATCTACAGTATTCTGCTTACATATATTAATGTATCATTGTTTGCATTTCATAAATAAATGTTAACATTTTCAAACTTTTGTTAAAAGTATAATCTTGCTTTTTTGTCAATGAAGAAGGAATAAGGTAATACTGTATATGAAAAATGTTACCTGTTAATAGGAAAGATTATAATGAAGTTGATTGCTAATTTGTGACAAGGTCTCCAACTGCTATTTAGACAAATACAGACAAATTATTACATAAAGATGTAACATAGCCATATTGTTTAGACATTATAAGGTACTGTAGTATTTATTTATAAATGTAAGAAAGATTATAGTAAATAGGTTGTGAAAAGTTTTGAGACTCATTGGGTGACAACACAATGAAGTTATTTTGATTTTTCAGATAGGAGTTTTCATTTGATCTTCATTACGCTTCTGGTCATGGGTCTACTTCTGAACTTTTCCATGTTCCTGTGTACAATGCTTAACTCTGCACTCACTACTTCGATTGTGGGTGTGTCAAAGAGTGTTTTGCAGACCTTCATTGGATTCTTCACATTTGGTGGAGTTATCTTTGATGCAGTGAACATTGCAGGTTTGTTCAAGTTGTATTCTGTAGGAGGAGGAGGAGGATGATGCAAAGCTGGACTTTTGACATTCTGAGACCCTTAGCTCCGTGAAAATTTAAAGGCCCAGTACAGTAAAAAGATATTTATTGAAAATATAAACATAAAGCTGATAGCATTACTACTTCCCTGACTATGAGGGGAAAGGGGAAGAAAGAATCTAGTCCTTGCCATTATGAGACAGAGATTATCACAGGTACCTGGCAGGTAGGGTTTAAGCCTGGAAAGAACCAACAATGAGCAGCATCCTGGTTACACGGGAGACATCTCCTGTCACGCAGGGTGCAGTCGCACCTCCACAGATCTCCAGTATCAGCTCTTGATACTGGTAATGGCTCAAAAAGGCCACCATTTACGGGCTATTCATGCCCGTGCCACCTTTTGGGTGGCTTAATCTTCTTCAATCATCAATCCTGGTTACTGAGGATGAGGTGAAAAAACACCTGATGGAACTGGATGTATTGAAGGCAGCAAAATACTAGACAACATTCCCCATAAACCTTATTATTCCGGTACGGTTCCGGTAGTACAGTCAGGTTCGTTCTCAACTCACAATTGAGAATTCCGGGTTCGAATCCCGGGTGGGACAAATGGGCACATTTTCTATCACCTAATGGGTCTGTTCACCTAATAAGTAGGTACTCAGGAGCTAGTCAGCTTGTTGTGGGGTTGCATCCTGGGCAGGTCAGGAATTAATTTTTTTTTTGGGGGGGGGGAACTTAATATAAGCCTAACGTCTATGAATACACTCTGGCTGCCTGCCCCCAGACACAATGAATTATGAATTATTATTACTGTATTATTATCATCGGCTGTATTATTAAAGAGAGCAAATTGAATTGTTATTTTTGCAGGAATTGCATTAAACACATGTGGAGGAGTGCTGTACACCTATGCCAAGTATGAAGACCAGAAAACAAGGTGGAGGAAAATAGATCTTGGAGACACTGGGATACAGCAAGCTGGATGGGAACTAAAAGAAAAGTTAATGCCTGTTAGTTGATGAATTAATTCCTTTAGAAACTTTTGTTGCACTGCAACTTATATACATATGTAATAAACTTCTGACTTTTAATTTATTTTGAAAAGCGTCGTGACATTTGTACTCATTTAATTTTAAAGATGTAATTTGTTAATTGTCTGTAATTCAGCTACATTGACTTGCATCTAAAAAATAATTAATCTTTGTGAGAATGGAATACTGGTTGTGTTTGAACCCATTGATCTTTTGTTCTTTGGCATCACTTGTAGAATGCCAAAGAACAAAAAGCCTTTAGGTTTAAACTGGCTCATATTTAATGTCTAGCCTTGAGCACTTTTCTTCACACTCCCACTCTGTTTCCATCTTCACCGATGGGTCCAAGTCTGCTGACGGTGTGGGCTACTCTGTTGTTTTCCTGACCACACTTATATGTGTCGCTTACCTCCGGAGACTAGCATCTTCACAGCAGAGCTTTATGCTATTCTCTATGCTCTTCGTCTCCTGCTCTCGTTGTCAATCTTCCTTTGTAGTTGTTGACTCTCGTAGTGCCCTCATGGCTCTCGAGGTCCTTTAATCTGGTTCATCCAGTAGTTGTCGAGATCCAGCATTGGCTGTTTCTTGTTCACAGTAAATTTAAGTCGGTTGAGTTTTGTTGGGTTTCCAGCCATATTGGTGTGTCTTTAAATGAGCGTGCGGATGCTACCGCCAAGGAAGCTGTCCGCTCTTGTCCCATCTCTCGTAAAGGTATTCCATATTCCGACTTTTACCCGATTATCCATTCCTCCATCCTTACCCATTGGCAGGCTTCTTGGTCGTCTGTTACTGGTAACAAACTACGTACTCTTAAATGTTGTGTTTCCTCGTGGCCGTCCTACCACCGTAACCGGCGATGGAAAACGGCTCTGGCGAGGTTGCGTATTGGCCATACTCGCTTAACCCATGGTCACTTGATGGAGCGCCGCCCTGCTCCTTATAGTCCTAATTGCATTGTCCCTCTTACGGTCGTGCATGTCCTTCTTGAATGTCCTGACTTCCAGGACGAGCGTGTGTCTTGCTTTCCGACCGCCCCTCGCGGTCACCTGTCCCTCAATAGAATTCTTGGTGACTTGGATACTTTTGATATCGTTTGCCTTATGCGTTTTTGTTCTCGTATTGGCATCCTTGGTGATATTTAGTGCCCTCTGATTATTCCGTACATTTGATGGTGCTACATAGCCTTCCCGGTTTGGTGCCTTCTTTTGATAATTACTTACTTTGGTTCTTTGGTCCCGCCTGTCAACCATCAATCAACTGATGTACAAATTTCTGAGCCTACTGGGCTCTATCATATCTACATTTGAAACTGTGTATGGAGTCAGCCTCCACCACATCACTACCTAATGCATTCCACCTGTTAACTACTCTGACACTGAAAAAGTTCTTTCTAAAGTCCCTGGTGCTCATTTGGATACTCAGTCTCCACCTGTGTCCCCGTGTTCGTGTACCGCCCATGTTAAACAGTTTATCCTTATCTACCCTATCAATTCCTCTGAGAATTTTGTAGGTAGTAATCATATCTCCCTTTACTCTTCTGTCTTACAGTGTCATGAGGTGTATTTCACTCAGCCTTTCCTCGTAACTCATCCCTCTTAGTTCTGAGACTAGCCTAGTGGCATACCTCTGAACTTTGTGTGTGTTTGTGTAACTACCTAAGGTAGTTACAGGATGAGAGCTACGCTCATGGTGTCCCATCTTCCCAGTACTCCTTGTCATATAATGCTTTGAAAATATATATGTCATATAACGTGTGTGTGTGTGTGTGTGTGTATTTATATTCATATATATATTCACATTCCTGTGTACTTAATGAGAAACAGCATTGCAGTTTTCCAGTATAAGTAAGCATAATACCTTACAGCATTTACATTTCTACATGAAGATGAGGAGATGGTTTGTATTTGTTGTAAATGTTCAAGCTTTAACCACAAGATAAACAACATTATTGAGTATCATTCATTATGTGAATGTGATTGTTATTTTTTAAATAGACAAGTCCAGTTGTATTAGTACAGTGTATTCAATGGGACCAGACCTCCTTTTATTGGATTGAATTTACATTGCATAGAAATTTTTTAGGTACATTTTTGTAAACAAAATTTTGAATAATCAAAGGTTAATGTAATAATTAATAATTATTACATTACAATAGAACACATTGATAGGTTAATGTAATAATTAATTTTGTTTATGACAGCCTATGTATGTATATATGTTAGGCTTATATGAAGGTCCCTATGAATGACCAACTAACCCTTCCCAGGATGCAACCCCACAACAGTTGACCAACTCCTGGGTACTTATTTACTGCTAGGTGAACAGAGGCATTAGGTGAAAGGAAACGTGCATAACCATTTCTGTCCCGGCAAGGATTCGAATCCAGGATTCCCAGCTGCGAGTTGAGAACGAACCCAACTGTACTAATGAGACCCTAAATGATAACACAACAATTTTGATACAATGTAACTTTTTCCATGTAATTTTAGTAATATAATGTACAACATTCTGCAAATTTGTGTTTGGCACATTTTCCTACAAAACACAGTGCAAATAAAATTTAATGTCTATTTACCTGAAGGAATTTTTGTTATTGTTCCAGAGTTCTACAAAAGTCCACCTTTTTTCCATTCAATAAAATACCTACCACTATCTTTTCTTCTAGCCACTTCAGTAACTTTAGTCACCTTACTCTTTGGCATTACTGGACAGTCAAACCAATGCCAGACACCTATGTCAGAAACTACTCACCGGGGACAAGATCCTTTACAAAATCCCTTGCCCTTTGGTAAGTCTTTTGTAAGGTGAATCATCTGCAAATGTTTTGAAAAAGAAGGTGCAATATATATAAAACTACCTCTTTCTGAAAAGTCAAATGTTTTATCCAAGAATACGTTCTTTCTTCATATCAGTGCAATACATGTTAGGAATTTGGCCATGGTGATTCAGTATGCAGGAATGCAATGTGTTTTGCTCTATTTGTGGTGAGTTTGGCTATATTAAGTCTACTTGCAAGATCCAATTAGCACTCTGCATTAATTGAGGTGGTAACCTTTATTATTTTGTTGTGCTTTCTTTATAAAGGAACAGTTCAGCCTGCACCTTAAACACAAGGATTCCATCCCATTTCTGAGTTGAAGATTACTGTTTGTTAGCACTTTATATTTAAAAAAATGAAGACACCATCTATTGCTATAAACCAGGAGGGCAAGCATCTGAGTTTAGGCTGGGATATTGATATCTATGACAGGTGGTTACAGGTTATAAATCCCCCAATGGTGAACATTCCACCTGTAAACTATGTGAACAAGAGCTGGGACATACGCTCCAACACGATATCTGTGATTGCTCTGTTATCAATTATTTCAGACCAAATGGTATGAGGTACTTTGAGCTCTGTAACTACTACATTCACTTACAAATATTGGAAAATATTCTTGTGTTGTACTCAAGAGTTTGCTAGTGCAGGTTAATTAATTAGTAGATCTGCCTGGCATTTCTCCTGATTCCATGTATGACTAACAATCCTGGAGTCAACCGCCACCATATCACTGCCTAATTCATTCCATCTGTTAACTACTCTGACACTGAAAAAAGTTCTTTCTAACGTCTCTGTGGCTCATTTGGGTACTCAGTTTCTGCCTGTGTTAAACAGGCAGAAACTGTCTCCCCGATGTCTCCCCGATCTGTCCTGTCTTCCAGCAAAGATATATGTGTACAGCGAAGAAGACACTGTGTATACCTAAACTTATTAATACAAAAAAACACTTAAGCACTCTCATCATCAGAGGTACAGTATATCATAATGTGTTGCCTAACATGAAAGTGTTTTAAAGAAAAAAAAAACTTAAGTTCTTGTACAGCCACCAGCACGTATAGCGTTTCGGGCAAGTTCTTAATCCTAATTTTCCCCGGAATACGACCCCCGCCAAATCGTTTAACAAGCAGGTACCCATTCACTGCTTGGTGAACAGAGACAACAGTTAAGGATTGGTGCCCAGTCAATCCTCCCCGGCCAGGATACGAACCCAGGCCAAAGCGGTGGGCGAGTGGTCTAACACTGCGCCACGGGGACTGCCTTTTCAACCTACAATGTTTCAAGCTACCTAACCTCCTAAATGTCAACCTATGTCTTGCCATTTTCAAATATTGAGTATAGACCAACTTGTATAACTGTTCATATCTCCCATGTATAAACTTCAAGAAAATTTTAGTTTGTTTATTTAGTTAAAATTACATCTGTTGTTCTATCTGACATGTAATTATTTTCATCCTTTATTTCCTATTTCAGTTCAATTCATGTTTTTTATGTTAATTAGTTTTAAGTCTTAGTTTTTAGAAATATTTTTCCCACACCGCCCGCAACGTTATGCGTATAAGTGGCTTTAGGCATAGTATGTACAACTCTCGTTACACCTATTCATGTCATGTTAAACTACATGTCAGTAGTTTCAAAGCATTATATGACAAAGAGTGTTGGGAAGACGGGACACCACGAGCGTAGCTCTCATCCTGTAATTACACTTAGGTAATTACCTCCAACATTCTCTTTGGAACTCATATTGTTACTTTACGTGAGTAAATTATTGTTATTATTATTTTTATTATCAGCATTATCATTATTATTATTATTATTATTTTTAAAAGAGAGAGAGGTTAAAGAGTATTGTTTGCCCGAAACGCTGAGCGTACTAGTGGCTTTACAAGAATGTAATTACTATGCTATATATATCCTCACAATCCCAATGTACCTTCTTGTATATATATAAATAAATAAATAAATAAATATATAAATAAATAAAGTTTGTTTATGTTCAAGTTCAAGTTCAAGTTGTTTATGTTGTGGAGGCGGGAGTGTGGGGGCGCCAGTGGTGGTGGTGACGGCGGCCACCACAACCTCTCACACTTGCTCTCCTCCTCGTAACACACCACCACATGGGGATAAGATGTGAAACACTGTTGTATGATTATGTGATAATACGACTCGGAGATCATTGAGAGGGAAGGTGACAGTGAGGATGTGGAGGTGTGTCAGGAGGGTGTAGTGGGCCAGACAACAGCCCCGGGGGCCACCACCAGCCTCTACACTACTCTCCTACACGTGACTGATCACTAACAAGCCAACCTCAACCCTTGCCAACTAAAATTAGGTGAGTACTAAATAATAAGTAAATTATAAGCTATGACACTTTAGGATAAGTGAGCTTATTGGTCAATAACAAGTGGATCTCCAGCGTGTGTTCCCACAAGCTCAGTCACCCTCATCACTAAATTAATTAAATGAAATTAAATTTGTTATTTAGGAAAAGTACATACATAAAAAAAAGTTACAAACATAATATTGGATTTATAGATAGAGCTAGTACACAATACCTAAAGCCACTAATATGTATGAGTGGGATTGGGTGGTTATTAATAGGAGCTGCCTCATATGGACCAATAGGTCTTGTGTAGTTACCTTTGTTCTTATGTATAGTGTTTGGGGCAGGTGCACCCCAGGTGCTTTATCTACGTACTGCACCGCCCCATTACCATGTATTTCAACATTAATGCATTGACCTATAAACTTCAATATGGGTATCATCAAGGAGACAGTAGTTGACATGAACATTAAACCCGACATATACACTACTGCACATACAATACGTCATTATTTAGCTGCCTGACAGCAAACACTACAATATTTAGGAAAGATTTTGAGCAAAGTTCCATGTTTAGAAGTACCTATGAGATGAAAGCTGATAGCAAGCTGCCTTTCTGAAATTTAAGCCTTGGAATGGAATAGTATGAATAAAATTTATGGGATGTACCTGTACTAGCCTACACCGGAGGCTTGGTGCTAGCCTAATGAACTACATCTGGGAGCTGCAATCTTAGATTCTTGTTTTCTAGTCTTAAACTGAATTTTTCTTTTAGTAAAGAAAACTGTACATAAACATCCAGGTTACACTTCTCAAGAGTGAGGAATGAACAGGTTTCAGAAACAATAAAGCCAAGATTTTATTAAATGCATTGTCTAGGTGTTAATAAAGTTTATCAACTAAATACTTGATACTTGAAATTGTCAACAACTTGACTGAAACCATTGAAGGCTCTCATTTCTTAGAATATTATTGTCTATCTAGTTTCCATGAATTTGCTGTGTGCATCCATTACTGACTTGACTATTTTTAATTATTTTGAACACCATAACCATCTTGTGGAAGATGACAGAAAGGTAAGTTACATAATTGGTTCATTAACTGGACCCCAATGTTTGACAATTTTTTTTTTTTTAAGTAGTGTAGTTAAATTTGATTTTATATCTTATTATTCACCCCCCAAAGCCATCCATTTGGTGGTAGTAGAATGATATCACAGTGACCTCAGGAAGTATATGCAATAACTTCAGTAGGCAAACTTGTAATTTAAATAAATTAAAGAAATGTCTGTCTAACCACTTGGGCTGGACGGTAGAGTGACGGTCTCGCTTCATGCAGGTCGGTGTTCAATCCCAGATCGTCCAAGTGGTTGGGAACCATTCTTTCCACACTGCCCCATCCCTTATCCTTATCTTTTTTATATAATTTTTTTCAGTTATATCGAACAAAGGTTAGGGAAAGGATAGGTCCATAAAAAATCAAGACAGGTCAAATAAAGGATAATGACGAAAAGACGAGTAGTATTTTTAATAAATATTTTATCTCTGTATTTACTAAAGAAGAACTTAACTATACCTTCAGCCAAACAGGTCTATGTGGGTGGGGACAAGGACAGGTTGACTAGTCTAACAGTTACCAGGGATGATATTATTAAACAAATAGTAAAACTCAAACCAAACAAATCTCCAGGGCCAGATGAAGTGTTTGCCAGGGTGCTTAAAGAATGCAAAGAGGAGCTTTGCGATCCAATGTCTACCATATTTAATAAATCATTAGAGTCAGGCAGAGTGCCAGAGTCGTGGAAGGTTGCTAATGTGGTACCAGTTTTTAAGAAAGATCACTTGCATCAAACTATCGGCCAATTAGCCTAACATCTATTGTGGGAAAGTTACTTGAATCGATAATTGCAAATACCATTAATTTTCATCCTGAAAAACATAAATTAATAAACGAGTCACAATATGGTTTTACAAATGGCCGTTCATGTTCAACAAATTTGCTATCATTTTATTCCAGCATAGATGACGGAGTTGATAGTGGTAAGGTTTGCGATGTTGTGTACCTTGACTTTAGCAAAGCTTTTGATACAATGCCACATGAAAGACTGATTAAAAAGATATTGGCTCATGGTATTGGGGGTGCTATGTTAAGTTGGATTAGAGCATGGTTATACCAAAGGAAAAAGAGAATACCAAAGAAAGAGAGCTCGGCCGACCGGGGAGCCGGTCGGCTGAGAGGACAGCACACCGGACTTGTGATCCTGTGGTCCCGGGTTCGATCCCGGGCGCCGGCGAGAAACAATGGGCAGAGTTTCTTTCACCCTATGCCCCTGTTACCTAGCAGTAGAATAGGTACCTAGGTGTTAGTCAGCTGTCATGGGCTGCTTCCTGGGGGTGGAAGCCTGGTCAAGGACCGGGTCACGGGGACACTAAAGCCCCGAAATCATCTCAAGATAATCTCAGAGTTAGTATAAATGAGGTTAAGTCAGAGTGGAAAAATGTTGTAAGTGGAGTGCCTCAAGGCTCTGTCTTGGGACCTCTGTTGTTCATAATACAGTATACTGTATATAAATGATTTAGATTCAGGTTTGAGTAGCAACATTTGCAAATTTGCCGATGATACAAAAATCGGTAGGGAAATTTACATGGAAGACGACTCACTATTACTTCAAGTTGATCTAAATAGGGTTTTGAAATGGTCAAAAGATTGGCATTTGCAGTTTAATGCTGATAAATGTACTGTAAAGTTTTGAGGCTAGGTAATGATGATAGCGTTACAAGATACGAGCTAGATGGTGTTGAGATTGCGAAATCGGATTGCGAAAGGGATCTGGGAGTTATGTTTAGTAAGAATATAAAACCAAAGGATCAATGCATGAATGTTCATAATAAGGCAAATAGGACACTGGGATTTATTAATCGAAGCGTTAGCAACAAGACACCTGGTGTTGTTCTTCAGTTATATCTTGCTCTGGTTAGGCCCCATTTAGATTATGCAGTTCAGTTTTGGTCGCCGTACTATAGAATGGATATAAATTCACTCGAACGTGTCCAGCGTAGGATGACAAAGTTAATTCCCCAAATTAGAAATTTTTCATAAGAAGAAAGATTAATAAAGCTTAAATTGCATTCACTGAAAAGGCGAAGAGTTAGGGGTGACATGATAGAGGTTTACAAGTGGATGAATGGACATAACAAAGGGGATATTAATAGGGTATTAAAAGTATCAACACAAGACAGAACACGAAACAATGGGTATAAATTGAATAAGTTTAGATTTAGGAAAGCCTTGGGTAAATACCGGTTCGGTAACAGAGTTGTTGATTTGTGGAACCAATTACCACGTAATGTGGTGGAGGTGGGGTCTCTCGAATGTTTCAAATGTGGGTTGGACATGTATATGAGTGGGATAGGGTGGTTATAAATAGGAGCAGCCTTGTATGGGCCAATAGGCCTTCTGCAGTTACCTTTGCTCTTATGTCCTGACCCCTTCCAAGTACTATATAGTTGTAATGACTTGGCACTTTCCCCTCATAATTCCCTTCCCTCAAGGAATGTCTAAATATTTATAATATGTTATACTTATAATAACATAAATATTAGATATCTTTCAAATACCAGTGATAGACTTGTCTCTAAACTCTTGTAATATTTCACATTCAATTGCATAATGATATATTGTGCAGTTTTGCTGAAAAGATTACATTTGGTCAATTGTGATCCAGGGGTATGGTGTGTGTTTGGGGTAACCCAAGACACTGGTTCCATCCCCATCCTACTACAATGATTTTCACCCAGAGGTACTTGTAGTTAATTCTAAACCCAACAGTTACAATATCTAAGAGTCTGCTGAGTTACTCATTGTGAATGTGTATGTTGAGGTTCTTTAGCATCCCTGTGCATCATTTGCATTACATTATTAGAGTTCCTTGGAAACAAGACTGTCAAGCACCACACAACCATGACTATTATCATCATTACTGGAACCACAGTCATTACCGCCACTGTTATGACTTCAACCACCAGCACCACAACCATCATTTCAACCACCACTATTGCTACTATCACCATCATTATCATTCTACCATCACTACTGCCACCACCACCATCACTACAGCCACCTCATCATTATTATATAATCATATTCATCACACCAATCTTTGCTCATTATTATTATTCTCATCACCACAGTACAATTCCAACTCATCACAGCTCTTGCATAGTACTTCCACACCACACACCCATCTCTTGGTGTGATAGGCTTACATTCTTACATTCCTTATCCTGTACTCATTACAGCACCTTGTAATAAATAATTAATTTTATTTATATTTTTATTCATACCTCTCTTGATTGACAATAAAAAATATCTAGGCCACAGGTACTGTACTGTAATTGAATTTAATATACTGTACTGTTTTATATATCCTGTACTGTATTTTAAAATCTTGTTGTGCAGTGGTCAGAGACAATTGGGAACATTTCCTTTCATCTAATGCCTCTTGTTTACCTAGTAAGTAAATAGGTACCCAGAAGATAGATACAGTACAATAATTGTTATGGTGGTGCATGCTGGGAAAGGTCAGTACAGGGTGTAGTTAGTCTAAGGGGGACCTCGATAAGCCTGTGTACAGTCCCTGACAAGGGGAAGCCATTTATTGTATCGTGACATCACAACTACTCTTGAACTTGCATGTACAGTATACTGTATATGTGTTGTAAAATTTTTACAGGTTATTTGGCATCTATTGCTTCAGCTAGATTTCTCTCATTTGAATGTCTTTTCTAGCATGGAGTTTGCAGACTTAGATGATGACTTGTTTGAAGGAGAACGCTGTCGCAGCCCTATTGCCGAGGAGTACAGTGCAAGACTCTGTGATCCCTGCTGGTTTATGCATGTTCAGGCTGATCAACTGGTCTCTTCTGAAGAGGAATTAGGTACTCAGAAATACATGGCAGACTACCTATTTTTTAAAAAGGAGTATAATGCTGCAGCAGCAAAATATGAAG